TCATGTGAAGACACTTAATTTCTAAAAAATGCTACTGTATCCATCTCAGGCTGATGGCACTCCCTTAAAAATGGATCTGCGTTAGGTGTTAGTAATGCTATTTCATGTCTCTTAACACGAAGAACATTCAGTAGAAGTTCAGGAGTCAGGAGTTGCTGGTTTGTTTGCTAGTTTTTGGCTCATCAGTAAAAGTTTCTTTGGAGTCTGGACCAGAAATGTATTCACATTTAAATGATCTTCCCTGTGCCTAGTATCATACAGTTCTCTGGCAACCAAGTTCCTTTCTCTGACTCCTGCCCCCTTCATTTTTGTGGTGAGTCCTTATGTTAGAGAATAAAGAGTGATTTGTCCAGAGTTACTTTATGCTCTGTTTTTCAGCACATCCTGAAACTTTCAATCTTCCAGGACAGTTCACTGCAAAGTTCTTGATATATCTTTATCAAGGCAACAGTTAGTATTTTTGTCTAGGTCTTTGAAGGAGTCTGCTTGTTCAGGCATGTGGTTGACTTTTTCATTGAAGGAAGGTTGGTGTGTGATGGCACTAACAGTACAGAAAGATCTGTACATCACCAGTAAGGCTGTTCTTTTCTCAGGAGAGATGTATGTGAAATAAACCTAAGCTCTTAGTTTTCTGAAATTTTGGAGATCCAATTGTAGTCTTGAAGATGAGCACCGGTATAATTTTTCTACACATACCCACTCCATTTGTGTCCTGTCAGTTGCTAATACCCTTCCTTGGACATGCACTTAGTTTATTTTTGTCTTTTGCCTTTCTTGCACTTACAGCTAGGGAGAAAAAAGTTCTGAGTGATGGAATGACAAGACCATCGTGTCTTCTAATAATACTGAATGGGTTTTTGAAGGCCATGGTAGTAATAATCAAATCAATAGATTATGGAGGTATTGCCATGCCTAGATTAATGGCTAAGTCTCATACATTATACAAGTCTAGAATTATTTTGGGTGTGTGGATTTAAAATTGTTGCATGGCTAAGAGGGCCAATTAGTACTGAAAAAACAATGTTGTTAAAGCAGTTCTGGATATTGCAAGTGCTTATACCTCAGAGCAGATTCCATACCACGAGCCCTATGATTGATTCAGTCTCTGATCATAGGTTTTGCCTGTAAGGTTGTTTTAGACTCATCTGACACCGCGTGCAAAGCTTCGTCTTTGTTACTTACAGGCACAGCTCACCACTTTGCATTGCAAGGAAGCAGAGTTTTGCCTGGATTTCTATAGAACTCAAGCATTTCTGGAAAGCATGAAGAATGAAAAGTTTGTGTAGGCTATCCTGTTTATTTTCCTGTCTGGAAAGAAAAATCAAAACCAAAAGAACCCCCCTCAGATCTTTCAGAAAACTGTTAATTTGGAGTGGTTAGGAATAGTATCTACAACTTACAAATGGTACCAGCAGTACTCTGTAAACATTTCCTTTTTTCATTCAGAACCAGTGTAAGGGTAGTGTCAGACATCAGGACTTGCATCAGGACTTGAAGAAAATGCTGGGTTTTATGTGCTCAAACTTTTCTGGGTTATATATTGCTGTTGGCCATCTCTTTTGGTGAGGAAGATTGCATTGCATTTAGCCTACTAAAGCTTTACTTGATTGGGAATTCCCAAAATGGAATATACACAGGAGGAAAGCAGTTGACAGAGAAAGAATTATTTCTTACTAGTTCATTATGACTTCTTTCAGATTCAGGTTCTTTGTGGTTGGAAAAAGGAACTGGAGTTATACTCAGATTACTCTATCTTTGATTCAGTGCATGAATATAGCTGAAATTTGTGGGCATTGGAAGATCTTGGCAAAATCTGGGTCTTGGTTGGATGGAGAGAGGTTAGCCAAGGCAGTGTATCTGAAAGCATTCCAGCTACTACTAAGTGGCTAATCTTTTTTCTAGTCTCATCCTAACAATAATGAGAATTTGGACAATAAGATCTGTCTTTGTATGCATTACCCTGATAATAGAGAGCAAGGGTATAAGGTAAAATGCTGGTGCCAGGGATGCATTCAGTTCTGTTGTCCACTGCCTACGTCTTGATTTGGAAAATTGCATTGTACAAAGATAACTTATTTTAACAATAGTAAAGAAGCTATGCTAGTCTGGAAGATCTTGTACTGGTTGGCTTAGGCAAAATTACAGGCGTTTTCTGCATTTGGAAAAATCAGACCTGCAATTCAGCATGCACACAGCTCTAATGAGAGTGAAGAGCTAGCTACATTACGGAGAACAGGCAAAACCCATAGGGAAATACTTTGGCCTTTGTGTCTGCTGTGTGCCTGGGTCCCCATTTGACTGCTGTAGGTAATGCCTAAAGAGTCATATAATTACAGCCTGTATAGTTCTGCAATGACAAGAGCGTTAATGCATGAAATGCTCCCTGAGAAGGTTCACAAGTAATTGCCAATCATGGGATTTTGGAGTAGTTCTGTCAGTTAAAAATCTGTGGAAATCTGAATTCCGTTTAAGCTACTTCATCATAAATAAATAAATGTATTTAACCTATAGTTACAAGAAATATCTCTAAGTCCATAGTGAGTTAGCATTTGCAGTACTGAATTAATCCTGAATCGCTCTATTTTCAGATGTTTGGTTAATAATACTGCTGTTACTTACAGCTCACTTACTGACAATCGCTGAAGATTGAATATGCTGCTAAGGATCAGAGGGTCAGCTCTGAGATCAGACCAGGTTGCTCAGGATTTTGTGCACTTGGGTCTGGAAAACCTCAAAAGAAGACAACTGAACAAGCTTTCTGGGCAGCGTGTGCCACTGCCTACTGCCCTTCTGGGGAAAAAGTTTTTCCTTACATCTAGCTGGAAGGTCTCTTTAAGGTTATGGTGTGCTTAAGAGGAGTGAAACCAAAAAAAAAAAACCCAACTAATTTAGATATATGAAGATGAGTAGTGGGTTTTTTCCTACTTAAGGAGTTGATTGAATCCAATATTTTCCCCTGTTGAATAAGAGGACAGCGTTTCACCCTTAAGAGTGCTGCTTTGCAAAATCCAGTTACTCAGTTTCACATGCAGGGTTAATCGTTATCTAAACATAGAGTTTTATCTTACCTCTTGAAAAGCCTCTGGGGAGTGGATGAATCAGGTCTGCTAATTAAACAAGCTAGAGGCTGCAGAAACATGGAAGTGGAACAGGTGAGAAGAATGGCAGAAAATACCTTGGCTTCACTTGCTGGCTGGGCCAGCAGGTGTTGACAAGCACATAAAGGTAGGGGTGGGAAAACTGTCAGCTTTTCCTCTTCTCACCTTTGACAGAAAGGGAATAAATAGAACAACTTATCTTTTATGTTTAAATCTCATTCCAGAGGAAAAAAATTCATCAGATTCTGTTCCCAAATGTGTCTTAAAAAGCGAAGCAAAAAACCCCCTCAAAAATAGAAACAGCAAGCATCTGTCTTCAATTGAAGTTAGAAGTTATTCTTTAAAAACAAAACAAAACCACTAACCCTTATTTTTTATTTCCTTTCTGACAAAATCAATTATATTGGACAAATTAATACTAGATTTAATGGACTTTCTGTGACATGTAAACAAAACCCAACTGATTTTATACTTAACAAAAGCACCATCACTCAGCAAATCCTGTTTATTTTGGAAAAAAAGGCACTGCTTGTGTATTAACACTCTGGCCAGGAAAGAATCTTGCCTATTTTGCTCTAGAAGTATTTACTAAAACTGAACTTTTCCGTTTTCTAGATAGGAGAATAAGTGTTCTCTAGTTCAAAGTGATGTCACATAGTCAGAATCAATAACAAAAATTGGTGTGCAGCTTTTGCTATCCAGGTCTGTCAGCCTGTGGTCACCTTGTCTCTCAAATGTTTTTACTACATCTTTCCTAAAAATCAGTTTCTTCCGTTTGCTTCTTCATGCCTGTGAGTCTTTAGAGTTTCTTGTTTGGAACTAGTTATGAGCACAGAGATCGCAGGACTATGCAAATGATTTCTCCTCTAATGCCCGCTTGGGCATATTTGGTATTGCCAAGTGTGTTTCAAAAAGTGAATGTGCAAAAAATCTTTCTTATGGGTAATTTCTGGTCTTCATAGTTGATTTTAAAACAAAACAAAACCAAACCACCACAAACAAACAAAAAACACTGTGGAACCAGACAGAATATAAAAAATCCAAATCCATCAAGCCAGTCTTACGATTTTTTTTTTTTTTTAACATGACTTGAAAGGTTAGAATGACTGACACTGGTAGTTGTAGACCATCACATTGTAGTTGATGGTCTACTGTCAGGACCGTTGGTCAGTTGCTTTAGTTCTTTGGGTTGAAGTGGCTGATAAATCATTCTTCCAGTTTGCCCTATTCATTGCTGCTGTAGCTGCCCCCTCTCCTGGAAGTGCTTGCTGGTGTGTTTGGCACTGCAGGTGGTTCCTGCTCCTCTTCCTCCTTGCCCCTGGAAGTCACAGTGATCATGGATGTCAGGATGAGGCAGCCTGGAGGGCCCCTCCTACTTGCAGAGGGGCAGAGTTGGAGGCCAGATAGCGCTTCTTGCTCCTGCCCAGAGCGATGTTACAAGTTTGGCAGTATGTATCTCTGTCTTAATGCACAATACTGTGGTGATACTCATTAATCATTCAGTACCTTCAGACCTGAGAGCGTGCCCCAGCCAGTGAAGCAACCAGCTCTAGCCAGCGCTTGTGGATTCTGTGTTATGTTAAATCTATGACTAGTAAATCTATGACTACCAGTTTTCTTGGTATTAGACACAGCCTTGTTGTTTTCTTGAATTAAGTTCCTTAATTGTGAATAAAGCAACAACATATTTGAGATTTGTTTTTATTGTATTGCACTTAATACTGATAAGCCAAGGCAAAACTTATTCTAAAATCTGTAAAAGCAGAGTAAGTTAATTGACTATTTGTAGCCATATTTGTAAGTCTGAGATTCAGATTACTACTGTTTAACTCAACTTTTCTAAGGTTTATCTTCCTTTTAATTCTAAAGCCAGTTTATTTTCTCAACCCTCTTTTTAAACAGATGAAGCATGTAAAAGACAGATTTGGTGACAGCGTGCCAGAAGAAGTGCTTCTGCTCTGTCTAGGCATTACTTCAGGAGTTGGCAGATTGATCTTTGGCAGAGTTGCAGATTATATTCCTGGTGCAAAAAAGGTTTATTTACAGGTATGTCTTCACACTGTTCTGAAGGAATATACAAACAATATTCTGAAGGCTTTGGTTGCAGGTACTGTTAAGTAAGCAGAATTAACTGATTGGAGATTCAAATTTGAGAAATTTCAAAACTCTAGGAAACTCAACGTGTGTTTTTTAATACTAGGAGCCTTTGCTGCAAAGTTCATGAATCTCTGATTTTTTTTTTCTCTTTTTAATGCTAAGGAAATGTGTCTACTACCTGCTGGCTGTTTTCAGCTGGAAATGAAAGAAATTACTAATTGTTAGCATGTGAGTGAGAAAACCTTTGGGGATTCTCTAGATTCTGCTTTCCCTGTTTTATTCAATGATTTCATAATGGTTGCAGAAAGATTAATTTTTTTTCCTGTGTTCCTCCATTAAGGATTTAGGATCTCTTTGCTTGATCTTTTATAGGTGATAATTTGGTGTCAAGTATGTTCTGTTCATAGTACATACTGGTAAAGCCGCGGGAATGTAAAAGGTCCTTAGTTGAGGAGATTTTGTTGAATGAAGGGGGTTACTTGCAGAAAGTCACAGCTTCCAGAAGTGCTGAAGCTTGGGGATGAAGGAGGATATACACTTCCCCTCCACACTTATAAATGATTTTTTTATTTTTTGAGAAAGTAGCAGTGTTAGTTAGTGTAGGTTTTTGGACAAGCTTTAGTTAATAACTTCCATGTTATCAACTGCTGAGTGTTCTTGCTTTGTTGTTTTAAAATGAGTAACAAGGGAGACATCTAATGGCTATTATCTGTACTACATTATTGAAAACAAAAATTCTTAGGAAAGAACCATCTTCCTGAAGATGGAGTATTTGTTGCCATAGTTACATTAAATTTAGATTCCCTGATGATAGAGACTGAGACTGTATCTCATTCATTTGCATTGATTTAATACCTATTGTTACACTTTCAGGAAAGTAAATATCAAGATAAAAAGTGAAAAGGCAGCATTGAGATGTTACACATGATTTATGAAGGACAAATACCAAACTTGCAGTAAAACTACAAGCTTCTTTATTCTTTTTCTTGAATAGCTAGAACTGAAAAGTATGGACTTTTGTTTAGGGCATGAACTAGGATGCTTCTGAGTACTGTTGGTTTCACCTAGTTTTAAGCAGGAAAAACACGTTCATTTTTCCTAAGCCATGCCCCAGCATCTTCAGCTGTCCTGTTTCAAATCAGCATTTTTGAGGGAAAGTGAATATTCACCTCAAGTATTATTCTGGATTGTCCAACAGTTCATACTATCATCTTATCTCATGCAAAAATTATTTAAGAATTAATTTTAACTAATGTAAATGAAACATCTTTCCTCTTAGAACTTTACTGTCTCATAATTGAACAACTTAAGAGTTCTATCCAGCAAGTTCAACCTTCATCTTTCAGTTTCTGCATTCTTTTTTACGGACCTGTTTTGCTGGATTTTGCTTTATAATACAAAATCTGCTCAACAATATCTTGTTTAGAGTTTGTCTACAGATAACCACATTACTACTTAGATCTAAACTCATCTCACAAATATTTGTATTTTCTGTATCAGAATACAGAGGTGAAGAAATTCTCAGTTCTATCGTTAAGTTCCTATAAGAAGCCCAGTTCTTCAGTGTTTCTATTTCTATACTATACTTCAGATGCTTCACAACAGTTTTTTTTAGTATGCTAAATAAAGTACATTACTTAAAAGAATTGTTATGCTGTCCCGAAAATTGTTTCATCTAGCTGTCTGCTTAAAGACTTTTCCTAATGAAGTAACTTATTTGATGTCACTTATCCATCAAAAAATTGTGATGTCTAGTAGTTTTTAAGTGACCTTGTGTCTCTTTAATGGTCTACAAGTGACCAACGCATAATGCATATGTCTTGTTTGGAAGATGTGTTTGTGCAGTTAGGTGGGACGTTGGTTTCCTATGCTGACATATGGATGGTGCACAAGCAAAATGCTTACCTTTTTAATCTTCTTACTAATTCTGCTTCATTTTGCTAAAAGACAGAATTTTATTCCTTTAATTTACAACAAACAAATAATAATCTTAATCTAAGATTATAATATAACATCTTTGTAAGTATGCATGGCTACAGGAATACAGCAAGATACCTTTATGTGGAAAAATGGAAATGAGACTTTCAAATACCACCTCTGTTGAATATAAGGACCCTGAAGTAATCACTTATAATACTGGTATTTTTACTTAAATTACAACAGTGAGGAGTCTAATTATACTGTTTTAGCTATCTAATTATACTGTTTTAGCTATATTAAACTTCTGATATTTTTGTGGCTTTCATTTGTGAAAAGAGCAGAGAGTAACTTTTAAAAAAATGTTGGTGCATGAGAAATGACCTTACATAATCACTGCACGGTAGTTGATTACAAATGCATTTTGAAAACTTGTGAACTGGGTAGTGGAATTTCTTTGATTGCATGTCATGACAGTTATATGTGTTTGTTTTATCTTGGTACGTAACTTCCAATGGTGGTAATCCATGGAGACTGCTTATATTTATTTTAAAGGAAATACAGGCAGACAACTTAATTCACTACAAATGCAAGAAAGCTCATCTGTTCCATTTATCTTTGCTGATTTGTTGCAACATGTTTTTATATTTTTTCCTTGGTCATTTTTTCCTTAGGTGGCCTCATTCTTCTTTATTGGGCTGATGTCTATGATGATTCCACTGTGCCACGTCTTTGGAGGTCTCATTGCTGTCTGTCTCTTCATGGGCCTGTTTGATGGGTGCTTCATTTGCATTATGGCTCCTATTGCCTTTGAGCTTGTTGGGGCTCAGGATGTCTCCCAGGCCATAGGATTTCTACTAGGACTCATGTCAATTCCTATGACAGTTGGTCCACCTATTGCAGGTAAGTATAGATATGGTCTGTAGCTGTAAATATGTTTCTACGGTTGCATGACTACTTGGCCATATTTTCCGTTCCTACATCATATGCACTTATATTGGAAGTTTTCTCGGTACGTGCTCCAGAGTATATGGTGAATTTAACTGCTGCTCATGGGTTATTAATTTACTGTGCTCTTTAAAGTTTGCTTCAGTCTTTTTTATTAAGTTATGCAGATGTAAAACATTCCTTAAAAGAAAGGTAGGTTTCCAGTTGGATTGAGGACCTGAGATTTTCCATGCTGTTGAGGTGACAGCTTATATGTTGATTGTGTTACAGAAGGACTCCAAATTAGAATCTGAAAATTAATTGGACTCCAAAATTTGCTTATGCAAAAACAATTGTGAGAATAAAAGCTCCAGTCACTTTAATTGCTTCTTATAAGTAGGAACACTGGCTTTTTTTATTCTTTGATAGGAGACTGTTTGACAAAGTACAGGTTTAGAAGATGAAAACTGGAAGTTCTTTGGGAGTTGGAAATAGCTTAAGCTACAATCCTTACCGCTGATGATTTTCAATCATAATTTACCCTAAGGTCTTGTAAGTGCTACTGAAAGATACTTAGTAAGATGTAAGTAAGTGAACTATGCAGCATTATAAAGAATGAAATTTTAAAACTAGAACAGCATAGACTAGGTGCTTCCTGATCTGGATACACTATCACAGCTATTAATACTTAAATAGAATTTGATTAATGGGAGGAGTTTTGAGAGAGCAATTAGAGTGAATTTTTGGAACACACACTTTTTTAGTAAGAGGCTACCAGGAATGCAATATATGCAGTATGTCTAGAATAAGATTAAAAGGCACCTTGATAAAAGACAACTGTTACCAAGAGAGGGAGAATTTCTCAAAGTCATTGCAAGATTCAAGTGCTGGAGAAGCTGAAATGAGCAACTTTCAAATAGGAAATACGGTACATGTATTTAATGATGGGTGGTAATTAAGCAGTTGAGTGGTGACATACTGAGTTCTTCATTAGTTGGGGTCTTTAAATCAACTCTGGAATACCTTTCTACTTCTATATACACCTATATACCTCTATATACATCAGATAGTCAGATTAGTGGTTATAATAATCCATGCCAGCTCTCAAGTTTCTGAATCCAAAGAAAAGACATGGTTTTTGTAGATTCCCGAGGCCCCATTATTTATCAGAGGTAATTTTTGGTCTTCCCAGGTTTGCTGCGTGATCACCTTGGCACCTATGATGTAGCATTCTACCTGGCTGGAGTGCCTCCCCTTATTGGCGGAGCTGTATTATGTTTCATCCCCTGGGTCCATGAACGGCAGAAGTTAAAAGAAAGAGCAAAACCTGTTGATGGAGAAACTACTGAGAAAATGCTGGAAAACGAAAGCACTTTGGTGTCGGACACTACAGAAAAGCCAGTCAAAGAAATGGAATCTGGTTTTTGATGCTTTCTTTTCCTGTACCAGCCCGACCGTCTTCTACTGAAGCTAGATTTGTACTTTTTGGCTGAAGATACTATATGACATTGAAGAAGTTTTGAACTATTGCTCAAATTGCAAAACTGCTATAAGAATCTTTTATACTGTTGAACTTTTTCTTGATGAGTCATTGAGTTTGATTTCAAGCCACGTTTTCAAGGTATTTGAAGTTTTGTAGCATTAGTGTGTACGTGCGTAGTGATTCTGTGTGTGAAGAGAGTATTTTTCTAACTCATCAGAACCTATTTCTGGAAGTGTGAAAACTGTTTTTGGTTCACTGACCCAGGATTCTTCAATAATTTTTATGATCTATCCAATGCAGGCACACCCGTGGGTGTTTATATTGGAAAATGTAGTAGCTTTTACGACTGATTTGTTTTTTGAAGTTTCTCATGCTGTTTTACAGCCTTTTATAATGAATGTATCCTTTTAATTACCTTAGCTCTTGCTGAAATAATTTTGCATTAGAAAGCCAAATTATTAAACATCTGTTTTATTTTTTCTAAATACCCCAGCCTGCTCAGTTTGCTTAAACACTTTTCACAGTAGCCCAAACAAAGAACATTAAGGATGGAATTTTTGGGCACAGGTTTTGAATATGCACAAACTAAGCTCCGAGTGTAAACACGTTCAGAAGTAAAGCTGCTGAATGGTAGATTTTATTTGGTGAAGGCAATACTATTAATATATATGTGTGTGGCTTTTTCAGCTAAACTTCAGAATAGCTGGTAGTTTTGAAATTGTACTGACAGTAATACTTTGGAGCAGTATTGTGAGTTAGACTAAATTTCAAATTATTCTGTTGTGCTTGTTAGGTCTTTTTTTTATTCTTAAACAAGACAGCTTTAAGGGATACATTCTAAGTGCAATAATAAGTTGTTTTTAACGTGGAAATATACACGAGCTATTAAAACAACATTCAACAATTAAAGATTTTTGCACTAAGTGAACATGCAGGTTTATTATAGGTCTTTATAGCTGTGTTCAATTACGTGTAGGATATAGCTCCATATTTTATTCAAATATAAAGAAAAGTCTTTTTATGTTCTACTTTTTGCTTAACGTACTAAACATACGGCCCTATTATTTATGTATTCTTAGGTATTATGCACTGTTTGTCAAGCAGGTATTTCTGAAAACCTCTTTCTCTGAAAAATATTTAAAAGCATGATACTTTGAGATGAAAACACTGCTTTTCAGTTTATGATAAAACATTTCCAAGTACATTGTTTATTTGTGGATATGGATCAGCAATGCAGTGGAATACTTAATCATTCTTTATTTCAGGTCCATTCAATACCTTTTGGTTTTTTGTTTAAAAATGTCATAGCAAAGAGTAAAGTAAATGTCATCTGAAGACAAAATGCACATTTAAGTGCATTTTCTTAATTGCTAACAATACCTGTTCTTTACATAAACCATGGAGGCATACTGTTTTAAAATTATAATCTTTATTGTCTTTTCTATTTTTATTATTTTTCTTCAGAGTTGTAGTAAATTGCTCAGAAAGCCCATATGCATTTTTGATATAAAACATTATATTAGCAATACTATTGCATAGAATGTTTACATCTATCAACTTACAAAAGTCCTTTAAATACAATCATGCAAAGCATCCTAATTATTGGAGACCAAAGCTCATACCTCTTTTCTATTGCAGAATTTCAATCTCTGCTTTACATGAGTGAGGTTTAAAAGAATTGAATCTTAAAATGTTAGAGGTGTATGTTGGAGGTGGAGAAAAAAACCCCAAACAAATCTGTAAAAGAGAGGTCTATCTAGGTTCACTGGGACTTGTGCTTCTGCACCTCATAAGTATTTCTAAAAATGTCATTAAAATATTCGTAGTATTGTTAATTAAAATGACTACGAAATGCTGCCTTCATTACAAAAATGATGTTAACAGCCTATGCTGTTCTTGTCTGGAGTATTTCTGTAGAACATGTTATTCAGTATTATCTTCTATTTGGGCAATGCAAAAGGTGTTGAGTAAGTGTGGTAAAAGCCTCTTGTTTCCTATTGCTTTGTTATGAAAAATTAGTATTCATCACAGATCTTACATTTCATATGTTTTAGCTTTGAGTTTTTAACCACAAACTAGGCTGCTTTTTAGCACTGATGCAATTTGAAATCATTGTGACCAGACATCTTTATGCGATTGTGGCATCTTCCTGACTTGCTCTATTTATATAGATAATTAATCTATATAAATTATCTGGGAGAGAATATAAAATAATTGTTGTTAAGTTTCAGAAATGATACAGAAATAGTATAACAATAGCATGGATTAATTATTGCCATACCCTTTAAAAATGTATCTGTACATAAAAATCCAAACTCTCATATTTGAGTAACTAAAAATGTAAATTATGCTCGCAAATATGGCGGACAGCATTTAAAAAAAACCAAACACCCAGAGACTCCAGGAAGAGAGTATGATGCATGAATAATTGTTTAGGAGTGATTACTATGTTAAAAACAGCTACTGAACAGGATGTCAGACAAGAGGGAAGCAGAGTTAGGGGGTAAGGAAGCTATGCTGGTGGATGATGTTGGAATAATGAACCTATTTCTGATGCCAGTGCTTGTTTTACAACAATGCTAAAATTGAAAAGGCTTCAGAAAAAAAATGACTTTTCAGAAAAGGTAAAAAAAAAAAAAGTAAATTAATGCATGAGAATTCTGTTAGCATCTTTATTGTTAGCTTGTATCTATGGGGGAAAATGTCCAATAGAAAACGCTCTTTATTGGACATAAGGATAAGAAGATTGTATCCTAAAGCTAGGTAAGACGCAGTTAAAATGAAAGTAAAGTTCAGTTGTTAGCAGTGAGGCAGGCTAACCATTGAGAAACTTACTTAGAGATATACTGGATTCTATATGCCCCGAGGTTTTAAAAATGTTAGCTGTCTCCCTTTAAAACAAAACAAACAAAACCCAACCCAACCCACACCACAAAAAACCCAACACAAATAACTCTTTAGTACATTTATGAAAAAATGATTGAATAATGTAGAAATGGTTGCTATTCTGAAAACTAGGAGAGAGAAGCACCGAATATTCAATTTTATTTTGACTGAGTAAATGTAAGTAAATTTTTGTAACAAAATTTAATTTTAGGTGTGAAAACCTGTTCATG